TGGGGAGTCCCGGACAGGCACCCTTTGCAGCTCACTATCTGACAGAGACATGTCAGGACAAGATGTACACACAAGATGACCAATCACTGACCATAGGGCAGCATATGGAGACTGACCCTGAAATGTCAGCAGGCCAAAGAGAGGAAGCCGCATATTCAGCGTCTGCTGCTAGGACAGGACAGCCTCAGACTGGCCATCAGCAGGGACTCAGATTGCGGTGTGGCACCTACAGGTCCAGACAGGCCATGAGCGGGTGGGGAGGGCACCAGGCAGTCCTGACATCATGACCACTTCCCAGCCCGGCTGTCCATCACCAGCCTGATGCACGAAGCCATCACCTACAGGGCCGCGGCTGGCAGGAGCTTCTGGAGGCGCCATCCTTGGCATTTCCTGCTGAACATTTTATGAACAAGTTAGATGAAGACGTGGGAGGCCTGTTTGTCAAATTTATAGGACTGCAAAATTGGGAGGCAGAGTAATGCACTGATGGCAGTCAAGATGTTTAGATATTTCAACAGGACGAGATTAACAAAATCACATTAGCATCACTGAGTGTACAGCTATGAGGCATTTTAAGATCATTTTGTCCAAAATGTATATTTTACCACAGACAAGGTCCAGAGACCTTCTATTATTTGGCCAAGTACAGCAAGTCACACTCCCCTGTGAGCCTTGGAAGCACCTTAAACTCAACTCACTGTGGGTGGAATTCTCCAGAACCCAGCCTCACTCAGCCATCAGCATTCTCTCTACGTAGACAGAAGCACCCTGGTGCGTGTGACCCTCTCCACCTGAGTCCCGTGTACCCAGCCTCTCTCAGACATCAGCATTCTCTCCATGTAGATGAAAGCACCATGGCACCCATAACCCGTGACCCTCTCTCCACCTGAGTCCTGGGTGTTTCTGTCCCCCTCTCATGCTCTGCCTTTGGGCAGCCATCAGTCAACTCAAAAGTCTATTCCACATGCAGTCAAGGGATGGTGTTGGTGGGGACATCTACCAGGGCCTCCATAGAAGCCTCACCGTACCCCTGAGACTCCTGCTTGGGGCTCAGCTCAGACTCCCCCCCGCCCCGCCCAGTCTACGGCTCTGTGTGTGTAACTGCTTTACTCATGCCCTGCTGGACTGTAAGGGCTGTGGGGCACAGGCTTGTGATTCTGCACAGGCTGGAGGAGGGCAGGTGGGCGGTGTGGGCACTGCTCCAGGAGTTTACTTGAGCCATTTCCTAAATCCCCACATGGCCGTGTGATGTGGGCACTGGTGCTCCCTCCTGTGAGAATACTGAGGAATAAAGACCTGGGTGTTTTATTTCACTAAAGAGAGGTTTGAGCCTTGATCCCTCCTTCAGTCTGAGCGTCCATCCATGGTGCAGTGAAGACACTCAGGTGTCCTTGTGGGAGGGGCGACGGGCACCCAGACTGGCTGAGAAGCCTGCTGACCCACACTAGTCTTCTCTGTGTTGCCGCAGTGTTGGAGCAGGCAGCTGTTTGGGGGTTGTCTTTTTTTTTTTTTAGCCAGGGCAGATATTCTGACCTCAGGACAGCACTACAGAAACAACCCACGTGGGGAGAGGCTTGTCTGAGAGTTTGCCATGTGCAGAGCCCCAGAGCCTGAGTCCCCTCAGCCTCAGACACGTGATTAAAGCTTGTTCATTGTCCCTAAAGGAAGAATAGACCCTGCAGCCTCAGAGCCTGGAGTCTAGCTCCATGGAGCTCAGTCCTGTGCATCTTACCAGATAACGTGGTACCCTTTGCACCTGGCGGAATCAGAAAACCTCAGTGCTACAACTGTTTATGCATGGGACCCACACAGTCACGTGCACCCCCATAGGTCCCACTGCATTACCAGCTGAGCTAATGGTTCAGAGGGCTGGCAGAGCAGAGAGCCTTCTGCCTATGATGCCTCAGATGGGCACAGACCTGGGGAATGAGGACGCTCCAGGGCCGTGGTGCCCAGGTGTGGGTAATACCTGTTCTGGGTGAAAGGTTGCCCAAGACCAATCCCCTCTTTCATGGTACACATTGGACCTGAAAATTTTCCAAATTAGTGCATCAAACTCTGAGGCTCTGAGATGCAGTGAAACCACCTGCCCCCACCTGTGATCTAGTGACCAGCAGCACCTATGAGAAGCTGTCGGCCTGCCCGGGGGACGCTGCCCCTCCTCTGCAGGAAACTCCGGCTTCAGCTTTCATTACTAAACCTATTAGAACTGACTAAAGTCCAAAAATCATTCAGCCATAAGAATATTAAAAATATATTTAGCTAGTTTGCGTTTGCTTTTGACCAACTCTAATTGAACCGATAGCTTAGCCATCTGGAAGGCTTTCAGTGGTTCTGAACAAAATATTTTGTTGAATAAGCTTTAATTCGCAATCATCGTCGCACTCAGAATGTTCCTATTAATCTTATTTCAAGTTACAACAATACAAGCCTTGTTTCACACTTCTATTTTTAACTAATGAAAATTTATTACAGAGAAATCCTAATTATACCCTTTGGAATATGATACAATTGCAAATCCATTGGTAATTTTCTTTTTTCAGAATTCCACATAATCGCCTAAGAAGCAAAGAATGTAAGTTCTCCTGAAATAGTTGGTCTATAAATACAGTTCCCTAATGGGCTGAGCAATCCTTTCTTTGCACATCGAGTATTAGTTTGGATTAATCCCTTCTGCAGCCTTGTGAATGAAAACCCCTGTTAGACACGGGGCATTGTGTACTCTCGGCTCATCCTGAAAGTGGTAACTAACATAGCTCACAGCTCCTTGGACAGATGTTGACGGAAAAGCTGCTCACTTTGCAGGTGTCAGAAGGCCTGGATTGGCCTGATCTGGCCTCTAAATGACCTTTTGTCCCCTTTCCTCTGTCTCTTCCCCAGTGAGGAAACAACCCAGGCTTCAGTGGCCCTCACCTGCTGGGGCAGCCCTTACCTGCTCGGGTGGCCCTTACCTGCTGGGGAGCCCTCCACTGCTGGGGTAGTCCCTGCCTGTGGGGGTAGCACTCACCTGCTGGGGGGCCTTCACCTGCTGGGGTGGCCCTCACCTGCTGGGCCGGTCTCTGCCTGCTGGAGTGGTCCCTGCCTGCTAGGGCTGCCCTCTGAGGGCAGAGGATTCTGGGCATTGTAGGACATTTAGCAGCTCCCCTAGTCTCTCCTCTTAGGTACCTCCAGCACCCCCAGACATTGCCAAATGTCACCTGGGGCAAATTCACCCCCAGTGGAGAACATTGTGCTAGTGTCAAAGATAATCAGAGCTGGATGTGGGCAAAGTGGTGGAAACAGCTTCTATTCAGACTATGGCTCAGAAAAACAGGAGTCCTCAGCACAGCCTGTGCCAGTCCTAACAACCAGTGGATAGGCAGGGACTTATGGCTGCCAGCAGGGAGGGGTCAGTGACTGGAAATTACCAGGAGCAAATGCCAGGATGAGGGGCTCAGCTCATGCCCCACTTTGGGGTGTTGCTAAGCAGCCTTGGGCTGGTGCAGGGGGAGGAATCTGATGTGATGACCAGGTGGGGCTTTCTCCCTGACAACACTGAGCAGGATTCTGAGCCTACTGAGCAGTGCAGGGCACCTGACTAGAGCTGGGTCCAGGAGAGAACCAATCACCAGGCAATGTGAGCCCAGTTGCAGGGGCCAGGCTGGCTCTGGAACCCTGCCTCCTAGTCATGTCCCCTGTGTCCCATGCCTCTCCGTGCTTCCCTGTGGGGAGGGGAGGGGGTGTCTGAGTCCCCAGCTTCCCATAGGAATCTCTTTGTGATGACCTGGATAGGTCAGGCTAAGTTTAGTAGAAAACAGGCACTCTTTAGCATGTACTAACTGATGCTGGGATTGCCACAGAGCCCCCAGGGCACTGGTCTCTGAGAACGGCCACTGCCCTGGGTCTGGCCATGGTAGGTGTGGAGCAGAGCCAAGTGGGAGCACCCCCAAGAGGGGTCAGTGACTCAGAGCAAGACTAGGCTCTGCACTAGGCTCTGCACTTAAGCCAGGGTGAGCCTAGTCTACCTGTCAGTCTGGGACAGGCTGCCGCTGGGCTGCCCGCTCCCACGCAGTGCCAGGCATGGAGCCGAGGGTGAGGTAGGCACAGGAGTGACAGAGTCTGCATCTGGTCAGCAGTAAGCATTGGGGTTTTTAAAGGAGGTTTCCAGATACTTCTAGAATAAGGTGCAGAACCACGGCATGATCTACCGAATGGCCTGTTAGAGTAAGGCAAGGCACACAGTGGTGCTTAATAACGGCAGCCTCTCCCTTTTCTTCCAGAAGAAGAGGGTCTCCCCTCCCTGGTTCCTAGGAAGGAAGGGAACGATGGTCAGAGGCTCAACCTAGGAGGTCAGCTCATTGCATCCCCCCACCAGTGCCCCAGGGCCCCACCTTGGGCTGCTCCTGCTGCTGTCTGGTGACCCTGGCTCTGGCTGGGGCCATTCCTCCAAGGAGGGGAGGGGAACCTTCTCCAGGGCCCTGGGTGGCCCCACTTTGCACTGTCTTCCGTTCCCAGGGGCTGGGAAGTTCCAGGCTCTGTCTCTGCCATTGAGATCACCCTCTGGGGTTAGATCTTAGGACAAGGTGCTGTGACCCTGAGTGTCCTCACTGCCCTGCACTAACCATCCTCACCCATCTGTCTGAAATGCAAGAAGCACAAGTGGGGGGGAAGTGACAGCTCAGGTGAAATCCACTCCCTCTCTCCCCATGACAGCGTCGCTCAGGGGTCCATAGTCCTACCTTCTGTGGGCTGTGTACTGTGCAGGGCCCAGGAGCAAGGGTCCTGTGCACGGGGTGCCCTGGTTAGAGGCAGGGGTGCTATCCTGGTCATATGTGCACCCAGAGGCCAGGGCTCCAGGCCCCCAATTTTTTTTTTTTTTTTGCTGTATGGACCGTGGCAGGCTGTAAAAAACATTTCAAATATTCTCCTTACAGAGTCCTCAGGAGGATTTCCAAAGGCTACATGGGAGACCAGCTTTGTCTCCACAGGTGGGTTTAACTCCGCACCTTGTGCCCCTGCAGGACTGAAGGCCTTGAGAGTCCAGAGCTGGAGGAGGCAGAGAAAGAGGACAGAGGTGTGAGGACGCCACCTCCACAGACCCTCCTACCCCTGGAGGAGCGGGCAACCCACTTCCGAGACATGCTCCTGGAGAGAGGGGTAAGGGCAGCCCCCTCCCAGACGTGCTCCTGGAGAGAGGGGCAAGGGGAGTCCCCTCCCTAGACATTCTCCTGGAGAGAGGGGCAAGGGCATCCCTCTCCCCAGACATGCTCCTACAGAGGGAGTAAGGGCAGCCCCCTCCCCAGACATGCTTCTGAAGAGAGGGGTAAGGGCATCCCCCTCCCCAGACATGCTCCTACAGAGGGAGTAAGGGCAGCCCCCACCCCAAACGTGCTTCTGAAGAGAGGGGTAAGGGCAGCCTCCTCCCATATGTGCTCCTGGAAAGAGGGGCAAGGGCAGCTGCCAGGCAGTAACAGGTATCCAGCCTGAGGGTGGCTCTGGGGTGGATGGCAACTGGGTGTCTCAGGGCCTGAGGGACATGTGAGGCTCAGAGACATTTGGGTGCTAAATGATCTGAGGCTAAGGGGGCAAAACAAAGTCCCCACTTTTCATCTTAAAGAAGAAAAGGAGAGTTTGTGAGGGGCGAGGTGCCAGGGCGGCTTCTCCACCTGTGCGTGGAGGCGCCTGGGAGGCAGGAGGCAGGAGGCAGGAGGCAGGAGGCAGCAGCCCTGAAGCCTCTGGTGGGGCACAGGATGAACCTGCCTGTCCTGTGTGGGGAGATTCCTGAAAATGGGAGGTCCCAGCAGGGTGACCTCCCCTGGGGGACTCCCACACCTCGGAATTAATGCAACTGTTTTTAATAAATTAGAATATTCTTTTTGTAGCTGATTTCTCAATCTCATTCTGAATTGGTTAGGGGGTGTTTTATATTCAAATCTCCTTCCGATGACTTTTATTTCCTGCCTTGGCTTTTGGGTATAAAATCAGCCAGATGCAATATTTTAGCCTGGCGAGATTTCTTCACCAAATGAGACTGGATGCAGAAGGCAGTAATGGAGCCTCCCTGGGATGATAATTATGAGGAACACTGTAAACAGCCCTGTGGAGCCAACACAAACTTCCCCTGCAGTCAGCACCCACCTCGCAGCAGGTGCAGCTGGGAGCATCGGCACAGGGCCCTGGACAGGATGACGGGGTCAGCTGCCCACACAGACCCATCCCCCCATGATAGTCTGAGTGGGGTCAGGGTGAGGGGCACTGGGGCTGGGGCTGGGGTAGGTCCTGGGCCAACAGGCAAACCTTCCTATCCCAGGTCTTAAGCATTTGAAGCAGGAAGGAGCTTGTCCTACTGGCTCCCTGGGGAGACCTCCACGAAGACACTGTCCCTATAACCCACAGCAAATTCTCATTCTGGGCCGACAGACTGGCCTCATGGGCCCAGTTACTCCAGACAGGCCTGCCGGGCTTGCGGGGCAGGTGTCTGGATGTTCCTAGGGTGCCCTTCCGGGGAGTCCTGGCAGATGGCTGTAGCCAAAGTGTTCAGCCTGTACCCACATGTCTCTCTCATGCCAGCTGGTTTATAACAAGACCTTGCTGCTGAACCACCCTGAGGTCCACTCGCCTGGTGAGGCAGAGCGGCAACCTGATGCTGAGACCCCTGTGGGGGAGGAGGCCCTTTCATGGGCCCAATAGGGAGCTCAGGCTCAACCTGACTCCTCGGCTCTCAGCAAAATAAGGCCGGAGTGTGCATCAGGGACACAGCAGCTGCAGGGAAATTGCCAGAATCTGCGGAGGTTGTGCATTGGGTTGACCCCAAGGGTAGGAGACTTAGATGAGGCTGTAGGCCACAGGCAGGGTCAGGGGTCTTTGATTCATGTTGAGGTGGCTGTGACTCTCCAGCCCTCGGGGAAGTTGAGGACAAAGAGCCGGGCAGCAGAGTTCAGTTCTCAGTCTCCCCCAGTCTACAGTCTCCTCTGGGTGGGTTTTTGAAGACAGCTCAAGTGCAAGTGTTAAGACACTGTTTCTAGTCCAGGGGAGGCAGAGTGCGCTTCTCACCTGGGGACTGTCCTCACTTGCCCCCTGCCCGAGGCCTGGCCAGGTGCCCAGAGCTTACCTCAAAGGGACTCAGATTTTCCCTTCAGTTCCCTGCATGGGGGCCCCGCTGGCCTATGGGAAGAGTCCCTGCCTCGTGCCAGAGAGCAGGTGAGCAGGTAAGGGCCTGGGGGCCAGGCCTTGATCAAAGTCCACAGTGTCACTTCCTGGTCTTCTGTCTTGTCTAACATGCCCAGAAAACCAGCAAAAGGCGAGCCTGTCCCCTTGGCCCTGGGGCTGATTCCTACCTGTGTGGTGCTCAGCAGGTCTGGGGTCAGTGGGTAAGAAATAGGTAGCCCGTGCTGTAAACAACTGTGCCGAGAGGGACCTTTTAACTGGGCCAGAGTTGGCCAGGTGGGACGTGGCTTCCCAGCTTTAGGCCTGCAAGTGGGTGCTGAGGCAGCAAGCACATCTGACAGGCTTGTGCCCCAGTCCTGTCCCAGGATGCCCCCTGCCCAAGCCGGACCCTCCCCACATCCCTGTCTTGTTGCCAATATCATCTTGGTGGGACTTTCTGAGGGCCCTGGGTTCTGAGCACCCACTTGAGGTCTGGTGACAGCAGGGGCTCAGTGACGGCCCTGGGATGTCATCTGTGTTCTGTACGTGCTGCTCCGGGACCAGTTTTCATCCTGTCCATGGGCCCCTGGCCTTGGGCATGGCCCTGGTTTCACAGGCACCCGCAGAGCCCGGGTTGGCGGGTCATCTTCTGGGGTGGCTGTCCTTTGCCTTTTCTCCCCCTGCACTCCTGTTCCGACAATGCAGCTATGGAGCAGGGTTTACAGACCTCCATGTGACTGTCATAGAACAGACCCTCTGTCCCCACAGCATCAATCCTGGGATTCCTCTGCTCTGGAAGCTGGCAGGACGAACACCCTTGAGTCTTATCTGGTGCTGTCACTGGCTGGGGGACCCACAGGCAGGAGGCTCCATGTCCTTCTCCTCTGTGCCCCTCCTACTGAGGGACCTCACGGGAACACATTCCATTCCAAGTTTCTGAACCGACCTTGCCTGTCTGGTCTGGCTAGATCACCTGGAAGGAAGTTTGACTCATCTTCCCTGAAACAGGGTGGCATCATGGACATTTCAGAAATACGCAGAAATTTCCTTCATCTTATTAATCTCTAAGCTTTCCTTCTCTTTGTTTTGGAAACAAACCTGCCAGTTTACCAGCACAGTTTTAAACTCACCTATTTGGGGGATTAGTACTGCCTGAGAGGTCCGCCCCTTTCCCAGGGAGCTCAGTTCATACGGCTGCTTGAACATATCCAGGTGGCCTCGGCTGGTAGGTCCTACTCAGGAGATTTTCACTGCATTTTGCCTCACTGAGGGTGGCTATCCATTTCAGCCTTTTCTTCTGAGGTTCTTGCAGGAGAACGGGCTCAAACCCCAGGATGTGAAGCAGCAGCCCCCGTAACATGTGTTTACCCCGAGGGAAAGAGACTGGTGTGAGGCCCAGACTCTTCTGTAAGAGGGTTTTGGTAGAAGCCTACACACAGCTCTTGAGTAGAAGAGATCAGTCCAGATTCATTGCTGATGTCACGAAGCAATGCCCCCGTTTACGACTCTGTCTTCGTGAAATATGCCACCACATTTGCTCATGCCCATGACCCCTCAGACTTCTAGCTGCTTCAAAAATGAGGTGGAAAAAGGTCACTTTTTCATGGACTGAGTGATTGCATTTGTCCAGTGCTTCAGTTCAGAAATCCATGCACTAGCGGGAGGGTGACAGCTGGTCCCTGGGCAACCTGGTGGCGTCAGAGAGCAGAGTGTCCACTGTCCCTGAGATTGTTCACTAGGGGAGGGGCAGACACCTTTGTGGTTTGTGGCTAGTAAGTGATGGCTTCAAAGAAGGTTAGTGTTGGAGTTTTGTTTTTTTTTTTTACCACAGAAAACTGTAATGGAGCTTTCTTTTAAAACTTAAGTCCATAGAGAAATAAGTTTAATTGATTTAAAAAATTATTAATTTAATCCTGCCTATCTAGATAAATGCATTAGAGGAATTTTGTTGAGAACGTCTTTTGTCTGCAGAGCACCGCTGGGAAGCAGGTAATTGTTGCCCTGGGCCGGGAGGGAAAGGCCTGTGAGAGGACTAGATCTCAATTCAGGGTCCAGGGCTGCATCCGGAGTCCTCTCTCTGCAGTGACCCTGGTCAGCTTCCCAGCAGTTGTCAGATGCAGGGACACTGGCTGACACTGGGGCCAGCCGCATGGCAGAGGCCTTGGGGTGAGGATTTCCCAGGCCAGGGCTCGGCAGGCCTGGCTATGATGGCCTTTCCCTGCACTAAGGGGGCACTGGCCATGAGGTTATTGATGTGAAAATGTTCCAGTTTGGGGATTTTAAATAATAATATTCTGCTGGTCACATTGACATGTGGACTTGTGGTATGTGTGTGTGTGGGGGGGGTTATTTCCCACAGGCTACAAACATGTGACCCATATTATCAAATTGTTTCTACAAAATTGTTTTAATATAATTCATTCTTCCACCAGCCTTGTCTGGAGTCCCTGAGACCATGTCTGGGAGCTCTCTCAGCCTCAACTGGTGAGAAGTAGAAATATTTGTATTTATGGTTTTTAAAATCCGCAATCTCCCTTTGAAGTATGTCTCCCCAGCCTCTGTGCTGCGGCTTCTCCTTCCTGGGTTGACTGCCATGGCCTTTGTCCATGTAGCTCTTGAGACTGCCTCAAGGCCACCCTGCTCGTGACGGGACCATCTTTAGTCATGACGTGCCCTGAGAGAACCGTGCACCAGCCACATAGATTTCTAGTGTGGGATTATCTGCCCGCAATGTAAAAATAACCTTTAAAGATCAGTGAAAACAGCTGCCTCTATTGTAGTGTAGCAGAATAAAATTTTATTTATTCATCAAAATAGAAGGAAAGGTTGAAATTGGTAAAATACTGTGAGCTCTGGAGCTGAAGGACAGAAATCAGACGGTCCAAGTGGCAGGGCAGTACTCTGCCTTCCCTGGGCTCTGTGGAATTCTGTCTGTCCTGACTACTTTTTCTTCTAAGCTTTAGGCACTGAAAACCCCCAGGGGAACCCCTCAAACAAGGGGATGAGGTCAG